CCTGGCTATTTTTTGGTTGCAGCAGTCATTGTTGTTGTTTTTTTTGGCAGGCCCAGGCTGGATTCGAACCCGCCACCTTAGGTGTATGTGGCTAGCACCTTAGCCACTTGAGCCACAGGCGCCGAGCCTAATCTGAAATTTTAAAAAATTAATTTTTTTAGAAAAAAGGAAAGGAAAGAGAGGGCCAGGATGATGGCTCATGACTGTAATCTCAGTCCTCTTGAGGCAGGAGGATTTCTTGAGATCAGGAGCTTGAGACCAGCCTCAGCAACATAGTGAGACCCTGTCTCTAGAACAAATATATTTTAAAAAATCAGCAATGAAAAAAAATCAAACCATAGCTCAGTGAGTAGAATTCCAGCCACATATACCAAGGCTGGCGGGATCGAACCCAGCCCAGCCTGCTAAACAACAATAACAACTCCAACCAAAAAATAGCTAGGCATTATAGCGGGTGCCTGTAGTCCCAGCTACTTGGGAAGCTGAGGCAAGAGAATCTCTTAAGCCCAAGAGTTTGAGATTGCTATGAGCTGTGATGCCATGGTACTCTTCCAAGGGTGACGTAGTGAGACTCTGTTTCAATTAAAAAAAAAAAAAGATCAGCAGGGGCACATGATGGCTCATGCCCATAATCCTGATACTCTGGGAGGCTGAGGTATGTGGATCGCCTGAGCTCAGAAGTTTGAGACCAGCCTGAGCAAGAGCAAGACTCTGTCTCTACTAAAAATAGAAAAACTAGCTGGGTATTGTGGTGGGCTCCTTGTCCCAGCTACTTGGAAGGCTGAGGCAGGAAGATTGCTTGAGCCCAAGAATTTGAGGTTGCTGTGAGCTATGATGCCATGTCACTTCACCCAGGGTGGCAGAGTGAGAATCTGTCTCAAAAAAAAAAATCAGCTGAGCATGGTGGCGTGCCCCTGTAATCCCAGCTACTGAGGAAGCTGAAGCAGGAGTATAGCTTGAGCCCAAGAGTTGGAGGTTGCTGTGAGCTATTATTATGCCACTGCTTAGTTGGCATAACTAAGCCAACTAAGCCTGGGGTACAACAGGGAGACCCTGTCTCTTAAAAAAATAAAAAGGAAAGAAGGAAATGAAAGAGAGAAGGTTGGAATTAGTTGTTTAGGAGAGAGAGTTGAGTGTGAAGCCAGGAAATGCTTATGTTTGGGCACTTTGGAAAATTAGCACATTCAAAGGAGAGGTGACACGCACATCCTAAGAAAGAAGCCTGCGCAAAGGGCTAGGTGATAAATCACCATCATGGTTGTCATTATTGTCTCTCTGACAATAGCTTACCCACTGTGGGAGCCCAGAACTGTTGTAAGTACTTAGTGGGTGTTAACCCCATTTGAGCCTTATAGCAACCCTGTAGAGGAAAGTCTAGAGCAACCGTGCTCAACCTGTGGGTTGCATCCCCTTTGTAACAATAAAAATACATCCTGCATATCAGATATTTACATTATGATTCATAACGGTAGCAAAATTACACTTAGGAAGTAGCAATGAAAATAATTTTATGGTTGAGAGTCACTACAACATGAGGAACTGTGTTAAAGAATCGTGGCATTAGGAAGATTGAGAACCACTGATCTAGAGAGTGAACAGACAGGGGAAGATTGAACATAGGTCATCAGGATGCCACAGTAGGACAGGTTGCCCCTTTGGTCACTTCACTACTGTCAGGGTACCCTGTTGCGTCCTAGTCCAAATAGGAAGCATGTCAATTTTCTCTCTTTTGTACCTCCTGGTTGTGGGTTGAAATTTAGTTTTTCAGAGAGACCCAGGTGTCCTGGAATTGGTATCATTTGTGCTTTGAGAAATGCTTCCTAACCAGGTGTGCTGGGAGTGCTTTTCTGCAGCATGTAAGTGCTGACCAGTGTCCCGACTGGAGGTTGAGAGGAATAGATATTAACAGACTGATTGGCTGGGTATGGTGGCTCACACCTATAATCATAACATTCTGGGTGGCCAAGGTAGGAGGATAGCTTGAGTTCAGAAGTTTGAGACAAGCCTTAGCAAGAGTATGACCCTGTATCTACTAAAAAAGTTTTTAAAAAATTAACGAGGTGTGGTGGCAGGCACCTATAGTCCCAGCTCCTCTAGGCTGAGGCAGGAAGATTGCTTGAACCCAGGAGTTTGAGGTTGCTGTGAGGTAGGCTGAGGCCTGAGCAACAGAATGAAACTCTGTCTCCACTCCCCCCATCACCAGTACACTTTTGTGTACTCTTAATTGAACGCCTCTTAAAAACCTGTTACTGAGGTTTCTGTTTTTGATATTTTTCTTCCAGATTGCAGATTTGAAAGCAGCCAGGCAGCTTGCATCTGAAATCACCTCCAAAGGAGCATCTCTATATGACTTGCTGGGCAAGGAGGTAGAGTTGAGGGTAAGCTACATTCAGATAACATACTTACTTTTCTTAGCTGTGCAGATTTTCTATTCAGGGTATTCCTTTTCAATCCTGTTCCCTTGTTCATGTCTTCTGATTTAATTAAACATACCTGATTAAATAAGACAATGTGTGGAAAAGTGATAGGCTGCTAGCTGCTCTTCCTGCTTCTAGTGAGCACTGTCTGCTGATGTTAATGCCTTTAGCTCCTAGTTTAGGAATGACAAATGTGTGGTAGGTAGCCAAAACTGTCCTTGTGCCCATGACAGATTTTATTGGTCACATGCTTTTATCTGCTGTTCTTAGCCTCCTCATTCTTCTCAAAAGTGCTATGCTCTGAGCTCATGGTTCCCAGACCTTGCTGCCCAGTGGAATCACCTGGGCATCTTAAAACACTCCTAAATGTTAGCTTGCTTCTTGCTTTCTTTTCCTTTACTTATTTAGTTTTTTTTAAGAAGGTCTCACTTTGTTGCCTGGGCTGGAGTGCGGTGGCATGATCACAACTAACTGCAACCTTGAATTCCTGGGCTGTGCCAGTCCTCCTGCCTCAGCCTCCTGAGTAGCTGGGACTATATGTATACCAGCATGCCTGACTACTTCAGTTAGTTTTTTTTTTTTTTTTAAAGACAGAGTCTCACTTTGTAACCTTTGGTAGAGTGCTATGGGATCATAGCTCACAGCAACCTCCAGCATTTGGGCTTAGGTGATTCTCTTGCCTCAGCCTCTGAGTAGCTGGGACTATAAGTGCCTGCCACAATGCCCAGCTATTGTTTTTTTTTTTTTTTTTTTTTTTTTTTGAGACGAAGCCTCAAGCTATCCCCCTGGGTAGAGTGCTATGGCATCACAGCTCACAGCAACCTCCAACTCCTGGGCTCAAGCGAGTCTCCTGCCTCAGCCTCCCAAGTAGCTGGGACTACAGGCACCTGCCACAACGCCTGCCATTTTTTTTTTTTTTTTTTTTTTTGGTTGCAGCCATCATTGTTGTTTGGCAGCACGGGCTGGGGATTCGAACCCGCCACCTTAGGTATGTGGCTGGCGCCTTAGCCGCTTGAGCCACAGGCGCCGAGCCCCAGCTATTGTTTAGTTGCAGTTTGGCTGGAGCTGGGTTTGAACCAGCCACCTTCAGTATACGGTGCCCTACTCACTGAGCCACAGGCACCACCCTTGTTTTCGTTGCTTTTTGTTGTTTTTTTTTTTTTTAAAGAGATAAGGCCTCACGATGTTGCCTAAGCGGTCTCAAACTCTTGGGCTTAAGTGATTCTCCTGCCTTAGCCTCTGTAATTGCCAGGAGAGCCACCATGCCTGGCCTCAAGCCTTTCTATTGTCACTGTTATGGAATATGACCTGGCCATTGGGAGTTCTCCAAGTCTCCTGGGTGATTCTCACATACAGCAAAATTTGGGACCATTGATATCTTGGCAGTCACTCTCAGTCAATTGAAGTTTATGTTGCAATGGAAACTTAATTTGCAATCCTTATTCCAACAAGTGCCAACCCAAGAGTATGTGCTAACCCCTATTTAAGCAGCTGTTTAAGAATGTGTTTCCTAAACTTTGTTGAATGTTAGGCTCATGTGATGTCCAGGTTTTCCCTGTACCAATGAATTAGAGTGGGGATAAGAACTAGGCATCAGGTCTCCAGGTGACTCTGATGTGAAGGAGAGTTTGAGAACCACTGCTTCAAGAATAAGTGGTGCAGTGTTTAATTTTTACCTGGTATTTTGGCATTAAGATGTACAAACTCAATCTAACATTTTAAAATTAAATGAATTCATTTCACTTCATATCAACCATGACTGTGCTGAGGTCTGGGAAAGAGGAACTTGGGTACCAGGTTACCATCCCTGCTTTGCATATATTGCCCTAGTGGTTGCCACCTGGTGAAGTGTAGTTGACAGAACAAAACAGCCACTGACATATACTAGCTAATTTGACACGACCAATGAAGCAGTGTCAGGGATTTAGATAGCAAGTTATACTGTGCTTGTGTTTGGGAGTCACCTGTATGGAATGCAGGTAAAGAAACAAATTTGGGAGAAAACATAACAGATGCTAAGTTCAGTTTTGTCCATGGAGATAAGGGCCTATAACAAAAAAGAAGGATCTCGAGTTCTGGAGAAAGGCCAGATAAGCCAGATAAGTTGGCTTATGGAAGACATTTAGGAGGTGATGGCAGAAGTGTTTGTGCATCAGTTGTAATGAAACTTTTGAGAATCTGTCCATTATCCATATCTAGATCTAGGAACGTTTATTTTTTTTTTTTATTAAATGATAGCTGTGTACGTTAATGCAATAATGGGGTAGGAACATTTATTTTGTGAATTCCTTTTCTGAAAACCTATTTAAACAATTTTATTGCTTCTAGGAAATGAGAACAGAAGCTATTGGCAGACCTCTGGAAATAAATGAGACTGAAAAAGTGATAAGAATTGCAATAAAAGAGATTTTGGTAAGATTACTTAATGTCTTTATGTCTCAAAATAGCTCAAAATAGCTCAAAATAGGACTCAAAATAGCTAGACCTATAATAAAGGATGTGTTAGTAGGGAAGTGAAAAATTAGAGGACATTCTAGAATATGTAGGTTACAGCATTGTTTATTCCCTCATTATAAACAAGAACAATTTCCTGTTATTAAAAATTAAGCAGTTTTAATTTGATAATTATTTTAAATTCTTCAGTAATTTTAATAATACTCTTATTTAACCAGCTCCTTACTGCTGAGTATTTAAATAATTCCCAGCTTTTCTTAACTCTAAAAAGAGTCTAATAAATAGAACTGTCACCATCCATTACTATCTGTCCATCCTCAATTATTATTTACTCCTTTCATCTAAAGCATTCAGGTTAGAGCAGCAGTTCTCAGCCTGTGGGTCGAGACCCACAGGAACTGTATCAAAGGGCCGTTAGGAACATTTTTTTAACATGGAATTCTTCATGAATTTTCATCTCATCCTTATACAGGGGCCGTTCTGACCTTTATATCATTCCAGTTTTAGTATACGCTGCCAAACCAAGCACTAGGAACAAAATTTGATATATATGTATATCAAAAATATGTATGTACTTACAAGGAATAATTGTGCATGTATATATAAATATATTTATATACACACACATAAACCTACCTACATCTATACATTTCTTAGTTCTGATCACACCTCACACCTAGATCTTGGCTTCTAAATGCCATTCTTCTAAAATGAACCAGAACTCCTAGGGAAACATGACTGATGCCATAGCCAGGGCAGGAGAAATGCAAGAACTTCTTGTGCCAGAAAGTAAAGAAGTGCTCAGATGATGAAAGGGAACTGTCAAAAGAACACAGAGGCTCGGTGCCTGTGGCTCAAGTGGCTAAAGTACCAGGCCACATACACCTAAGGTGGCAGGTTCGAATCCAGCCCGGGCCTGCCAAACAACAATGATGGCTGCAACCAAAAAATAGCCGGGTATTGTGGCAGGCGCCTGTGGTCCCAGCTACTTGGGAGGCTGAGGCAGAAGAATTGCTTGAGCCCAGGAGTTGGAGGTTGCTGTGAGCTGTGATGCTACGGCACTCTACCCAGGAGGACAGCTTGAGGCTCTATCTCCAAAAAAAAAAAAAAAAAAAGAACACAGAAGCTAAGTTGCATGGGCCTCCCCTGGCCAAATTAGCAACAATTTAAACATCAAAATAAGTTATAGTGATTTAATTCTCACTGACATAGAAAAACAATTATATTGAAAGTTGATGAAAAGCAAGTTATTCACATAGTTTCAAAGTAGCTCCCCACAAAATGCTTACTTATTACAAATGGGAAAAGAGTAACTTCTGGAGAAGCCTAACAGTCACCCCCTTAATCAAGTGATCGTTGTGAGTATCATTGTAATGGAACAAATCACAGTTATGCACGTCTAATAGGATGCCATCTTTTCTGAGATATGGCTGCTAAAGATGCATAATCTGAATCTAATCAGACAAAGCAAATTGAAGAGCATACTATAAATTAACTGGCCTGTACTCTTCCAAAGTGAAAAGTTCGTAAAAGTCAAGGCAAGCTGAGGGACATTCCAGGCTGAACGAGGCCCCAGACAGGTGATGCCTGAATACCACAGGTGGCTCCCATCTGCTGTTGAGGTCTTCACTGGGCAGGTGGGGACACTAGGATGGGTCTGAGGCTTAGGTAGTGGTGCGTCAGGCATGAGTTCCTGTTTTGATGACTGTATTTTAATTGTGTAGAAGATTATTTGTAGGAAATATACCCTAAAGTGTTCAGGGTGATGAGATAATCTTGTCAGCAATTTTCACCTAGGTTGAGAAAAATGCTTTGTATTGTACTCCAGTTTTCCTATAAATATTAATTTAAAAATATACTTGCCTATATTCTAACTGAATCTAGTGAACATGATATGAACATGCCCTTGGCATTGACAAATATAAGAACATCCAAAAGAGGGCATAATTGTTGGTAAACATCTCTTAAGATAGCTTTCTGTTGTTGAAAAATATCTATGATGTTTGCTACTTCTAAAAAAGCAACCTACCAAAACAACATGATTACTTTAAAAGGATTATGAGGTATAGGCCACATATTTCAGGAAACCAGGCAAAATTATTTAGGTTTATATGTTAATCTTTTTTTTTTAGTCAGAATCTCTTACCCTGTGCCCTGGGTAGAGTGCCGAGGCATCATAACTCACAGCAACCTCAAATTCTTCAGCTTGAGCAATCTTCTCGTCTCAGCCTCCCAAGTAGCTGGAACTGCAGGTGTTTGCAATAGCACCTGCCTAGTTTTTCTATTTTTAGTAGAGATGGGGTCTTGCTTTTGCTTAGATTGGTCTCAAACTTTTGAGCTGTGATCCACCTGCCTCACCCTTTCAGAGATCAGAGATATGAGCTACCACGCCCGGCCCAATCTTTCTTATTTGAGGAACAGATACTTTTCTTTCGAGTCAGAGTCTCATTATGTCACCTTTGGTAGAGTAATGTGACATCACAGTTCACAGCAGCCTCAAACTCTTGGGGTTAAGCTATTCTCTTGCCTCAGCCTCCCAAGTAGCTGGGACCACCAGCACCCACCACAATGCCCAGCTATTTCTTTTTGCTGCAGTTGTCATTGCTGTTTAGCTGGCTTGGGCTGGGTTCGAATCAGCCAGCCTGGGTGTATGTGGCCAGTGTGGTAACCACTGTGATATAGGCACCATGTCTGAGGAACAGATACCTTTAAAAAATACTTTTTACTTTTTAAGGTCAAATAAATTTACTGCAGTTTAATCTGACTTTGATTCAGAGAAATGGTCTACATCAGCTTGAGTTATTTAGAAAGGAGACCCACCTTTCTTCCAATGAGAGTGACTCACGTTTCTCCTGGGGTCTTTAAGCCCTTAAAGCAAATGGTTGGTTGGTGATGATTGTTATAATGAAATAATTTTAGAAAGGGTTAGTGTACTTAGACCAAAAATAATTGAAACATGAACTCATTATCAGTAACCATAGTTTCTTATAAAAACACACTGTTTCTGAGGATTAAGAATGTCTGGACTTCGTAGGTCCTTTCATTGTGGACCCCATAGTTTTTCAGAGATCTCCAGGAAAACAGACACCCTTTTAGGGGTGCTTGTGCACATGGAAAGTATTGGATGGGAAAACCCCATTGTGGCCATTAGGAACTTAGTACAGGGCTGGAAAGTCAGAACTTGAAGCAGCAGCTCCATGCTTAGCTGCACAGGCATATGACGTGGCCAGTTTCTCAGACAAGATGAAAATAATGAGTGTTAGGAACACAGCACGTTTACTCTGGTTCTACCTGCTTCAAATGAACTTTCTCTAACTAGAGGGTCAGGAGGTTTCCATTGTCATCAATGGTTTCTTATCCCCTTGCTTTCTTTACTTAGCCCCATTGCCCCAGGGCTTCTGTCCAGCTGCTTCCCAGGGCCCCCTTCCAAAGGTTGGTGGACACTAGAGTGGCTGATGCCACTGAAGAGCTACTTCTGTAACAACTTCACAGTGCTCTGTTTATTTTTAGTCTGCAGTCAAGCTTCTGTCACCAGAGAGAGGGAAGGCACCTTTCTTTCTGAATCCCAGCAAGCCATAGTTAGAGCCACTCATGTTTCTTTCTGTCCCCTCCTAGGAAAACTGTGTGTGTGTGTTTATTCTGTAAGTCAGGTGTTTGTAACTAAGGAATACCCTGAATGACATAAAGGCACACTAACTATCCAGAGTGATATGTACCCAGTTCTAACGGATTAAGCTAGACAAGAGCACATAGGCCTCTGTCCACTAGGACACATCTTTCCATCTTCACTTGTTTAAAACCTACTTTTTATGAGAGGGTGGAGAGGATAAATTTTTCTGGACATTCTCCCTATAACAGTTGGTTAAATATGTCATTACCTATTTGTCAGCTTTTGTATTTGTTTAACCTGATGTTGCTATGCTTGATGCAGTATGCGTCTCTTCAAAGAGGCAAGATGGCAATCATTATTGGCATATTGTCTCATTATTTCCTATTAAATGTAGACTCAGGTTCAGAAGACTAAAGACCTGCTCAATAATGTGGCCTCTGATGAAGCTAATTTAGAAGCCAAAATTGAAAAGAGAAAATTAGAATTGGAAAGAAATCGGAAGCGGCTACAGACTCTGCAGAGTGTCAGGTAGGTATGAACATTTGAAGAATGAGTGGAAAAATATCTCTGGAAGTTAGAACAAAGACTAAGAGAATATAACATGACAGTAACTCTTGAAGCAGTGAAAAAAAGCTTTACTTAAGGTTATCTCTGCAAAATGTGTATGTGTGTTGCCTGTCATGATAAGTAGACTGCTGCACTCTTTATTGATTTCAGTATGTCTGGAAAATTGCTTACTTCTTTGAACTGCCCTTTAAGCTTTTATAGCTTCTTAGAACTCAGGGCAAAGTAGGTAAATCCAGATGGTGAAAGTTATATGAGGCTTGGTCTCCTAAGATCCTGCCATAAATTAGATTGAAACAGAAACATACTCCCATATCTGGGTGGGAGAAGATTTTAGACTTTATTTACACTAGGATAGTTCCTCATCAATCAGTAATTCTTACTTTACCTCATTGGAAATACTTTTCCAAGGAATACAGATGGAAAATAGTGGCATAAACCACCTTCTAGATCAGTGAAGCATTTTAAAATGTGTTCCTCACATTCTTTGGAGCTTTTTTCTTCTCTTTACATATTTTGTAACCTTCTTCCCTTGCTGTATCTTCGGGTTTTTTTTTTTCCCCCTGTATTTTTACTCTTTCTACCTTTTTATTCTCCATTCTTTTTTTTTTTTTCTAATTTTTGCTGGCCATATGGTTTCTTTCTTTCTCTCTCTCTCTTTTTATATTGTTTGGGATTCATTGAGGATGCAAAGAATTAGGTTACACTGATTGTCCTTTCTTTTTTTTTTAATTGAGACAGAATCTCATTCTGTCATCCTAGCTGATCGCAGTGGTGTGATCATAGAGAAACTGCAACTTCAAACTCTTGAGCCCAAGTGATCCTCTTGCCTCAGCCTCCTGAGTAGATGGGATTACAGGCACCTGTCACAATGCCTGGCTAGTTTTTGTATTTTTCATAAAGACAGGGTCTTGTTCTTGCTCATGCTGATCTCAAACCTCTGAGTTCAAGCAGTCCACCCACTTCAGTCTCTCAGAGTGCTATTATAGGCGTGAGCTACTGCACCCAGTCCATTTTTCTTTTTCTTGACTCTCTCCTCTTTGCAGTTAACTGCATCTGCTCTGAATGTGTTTTGCCTTTTGAGATACTGATTGCTGGCCCTCACTCTGGCTACTGCCCTGAGATCTGAGGAAAGGCAGCACCTGGAGGAGGCAGAGGGTAGCCACAGAGAACAGCCACTTTCCCTGCTTTTCTGAAATCAGTGGTCCCAAATATATTTGTCTCCTTAAAAAAAAAAGATCTTGCTTTTAGGCCAGGTGTGGTAGCTCATGCCTATAATCCTAGAATTCTGGGAGGCTGAGGCAGGTGGATTGCCCTGAGCTCACAGGTTCGACTAGCCTGAGCAAGAGCGAGACCCCATCTCTTAAAAATAGCCTGGTGTTGTGGTGGGCACCTGTAGTTCCAGCTACTCAGGAGGCTGAAGCAAGAGAATAACCTGAGTCCAAGAGTTTGAGATTGCTGAAAGCTATGACGCCACAGCTCTCCACTGAGGGCGACAAAGTATGACTCTGTCTCTCAAAAAAAGTTAAAAATAAACTCTACCTTTAAACTATGAGTTAACTTTTTTTAACCCTCAGATCCTTTTAATAGAAAAGTTTATTTTGTTCTAGTTCAAAAGATAAATTATTTTTAAGTTTTTCAGTTTAGGCTCAATACTAGTAGCACAGTGGTTACGGCGCAGACCACATACACCAAGGCTGGTGTGTTTGAATCCGGCCCAGGCCTGTTAAACTGTCCAACAATAGCTGGGCATTGTGGCGAGTGCCTATGGTCCCAGCTACTTAGGAGGCTGAGGCAAGAGAATCGCTTGAGCCCAAGAGTTCAAGGTACCTATGAGCTGTGACACCACAGAACTCTACTGAGGGCAACATAGTGAGACTCTGTCTCAAAAAAAAAAAAAATTAAATTAAATTTTGCAGTTTTTGGCTGGGGCCAGATTCAAACCCACCACCTCCAGTATATGAGGTCAGCGCCCTACTCTTTGAGCCACAGGCGCCACCCTTAAATTAAATTTAAAAAGAAGTTTTTCACTTTATATTATAAAGAGCAGAATTTCCTCTTTAAGATCATTAATAAGAAAAGAAAAGGTAAAGTTCAGCAAATCAGTTGAAACAGATTTTTATGTTATGGTTTTAATTTTGAATTTAATTAATTTTTAAAAAATTTTTTATTCTTTGTCACCCTGAGTAGAATGCTGTAGTATCACAGCTTACAGCAACCTCCAGCTCTTGGGCGATTCTCTTGCCTCAGTCTCACGAGTAGCTGGGACTACAGGCGCCCACCACAATCCAGCTATTTTTTTGCTGCAGTTTTGGCGGGGCCAGGTACGAACCCGCCACCCTCAGTATATGGGGCTGGCTCCCTACTGACTGAGCCACAGGTACCACCCTTTTTAATTTATTTTGAAATTTTTTTTTTTGAGACAGAGTCTCAGTCTGTCACCCTGGGTGGAGTGCCATGACATCACTGTAGCTCACAGCAATCACAAACTCTTGGGCTCAAGCGATCCTTTTGCCTCAGTCTCCTGAATAGCTAGGACTACAGGCATGTGCTACCATGGCTGGCTAGTTTTTCTGTTTTTAGCAGATACAGGGATTCACTCTTGCTCAGGCTTGTTTTGAACTTCTGAGCTCAAACAATACACCTGCCTTAGCCTCCCAGAGTGCTAGGTGTGAGCCGCCATGCTCAGCCCTTGGTTTTAATTTTATATTATTTAAAAATAGCTTTTATAGGTGTGAGCCACTGCACCTGGCCCTGGTTTAAATTTTTTAATTTTGTATTATTTAAAAATAGCTTTAGCCAGGCGTAATGGCCCACACCTACAATCCTAACACTTTGGGAGACTGAGGCAGGTGGATTGCTTGAGCTCAGGAGTTGGAGACCAACCTGAGCAAGACCCCATCTCTACTAAAAATAGAAAAAACAGCTGGGTGTGGTAGTGCACACCTGTAGTCCCAGCTACTCAGGAGGCTGAGACAAGAGGATGGCTCAAACCCAAGAATTTGAGATTGCTGTGAGCTATGGTGCCATAGCACTCTACTCAGGGCAACTGAGTGAGACTCTTTCTCAAAAGAAAAACAAAAAAAAACAAAATAAAAATTTGTAACAACCTCTGTTTCCCTTTTTAGTGAATTTACTAAATTTTGGGACATCCAGACAGTAGAACATTATTCCCAACTAAGATAATAATGTATATGTTTACTTTATCTATTTTGAGAGAAGTATATGGCATATGATTATTTTCTAACTCTATTGAAATCTATAGTATATTGAAGTGAAAAAAAAACTACAGAACTTTATGGTAATACATTTAATTTTTATTCAAAAATGCATTTCTGTGTAAATATGCATAGAAAAGTCTATAAGGGCTCGACACCCTTAGCTCATTGGTTATGGCACCAGCCACATACACCAGGGCTAATGGATTCGAGCCTGACCTGGGCCTGCTAAACAACAATGACAACTATAAAAAAAAAA